CGGTGGCCCATTGGGAGAGTCTTGTGTGCTGTGTTGGAGCTGTATTTCTGTGCTTCTCAGGGGCAGCTCTTTCTCTGGCTAGATAGGATTTTCTGTTTACAGCACCCTCACTTCTAGCTCATCTTCTTTCTTGCCTGTATCTCCATCCTTCAGTCTATGTTCTCCTGCTTTTAGAGGCCATTGAGAGTTTAGGTTGTGAGGATATCTTTGCTCTGAGCTCCCTTCCTTTCCTACCTCAGGCCTCATGGGATAAGCAGTGGTGCCAGTGGGCCCTGTGTATTTCAGAGAGGTTAAACCATTCTGGAGGAGCCTCTCCCCACTACCTGTGCTTCCTGACCCTGTTAGGAAACTGTGCAGCAACCAAGGACATAAGCTTTATAGTCAAACCCAAATTTAAAGCTTGGGTGTATTATTACTACTACGATTATTATTATTATTTTTTGTCTTTTTTGAGACAGGGTCTTGCTATGCAGTTCAGGCTGGCCTTGAGCTCACTTTGTAGCCCAGGCTGGCCCCGAACTCACAACAATCCTCCTGCTTCAGCCTCCCGAGTGCTGGGATTATAGGTGTGTGCCACCACACCAGGCTCCTCTTTTAGTTGTGAGAATTTGGGCAGATTTTTTCACCTCTGACTCATTTACCGGGGAAAGAAACAATACCAGCCTTAGAATTTCCAAGAGGATGAAATGATAGCATATGAGCTGGGCGTGGTGGTGCACACCTGTAATCTCAGCACTCGGGAGGCTGAGGCAGGAGGAGCAGGAGGATTGTTGGGAGTTCCAGGCTAGCCTGGGCTACAAAGTGAGCTCAAGGCCAGCCTGAGCTGCATAGCCAGACTCTGTCTCAGAAAGACAAAAAAAAAAAAAGCGCATGTATAACGTCCAGCCTCAGGCCTAACCCGCAGTGCATGGCCACTGCTCCAGCCCCCTCCTGCAACCTCCTAGCTACCACAGTTTGCACCCACCTCCTTATTCTGTGCTGTCTCTTTCAGGATGGCTGGCTTCGATGGCTCAGCTTGGGATGAGGAGGAGGAAGAACCACCTGACCATCAGTACTATAATGACTTCCCAGGGAAGGAACCCCCCCTTGGGGGGGTAGTAGACATGAGGCTTCGGGAAGGAGCCATGCCAGGGGCTGCTCGACCCACTCCACCCAGTACCCAGACTCCTAGCCACCTGGGGGCTACACTGGTAAGGTGCTTGGATGGAGGTGAGTGGGCCTAGGATGGGAGTGGTATAGGGGCTCTGGTCTCAGCTGATTTTTATCCCTGTAGCCTGTAGGGCAGCCTGCTTCGGGAGACCCAGAAGTCCGAAAGCAGATACCACCTCCACCACTCTGCCCAGGTATGAAGGGGGAGCTGAGTAGGCAGAACTAGGTGTGCCGTGGCTGGGCAAGTGTACTGCAGAGCCTCCCTTTCCTCTGCAGGCAGAGAGCTCTTTGACGATCCTTCCTACGTCAATGTCCAGAACCTAGACAAGGCCCGGCAAGCAGGGGGTGGGGCTGGACCCCCCAATCCTGCCATCAATGGCAGTGCACCCCGGGACCTCTTTGACATGAGTGAGTGCATCTCTTTTTTTGTATCCTCACCTTCTTGCTTGGTTCCTTCTCTTCTGCCTGTCTCCCCTTTCCTCCTGGCTTCCCTCCTGGAAGGTCTGGGTTGTGGGCATCTGTTGGGTCACTTGTCCTTCTTAACTCTCTCTATACCTGCAGAGCCATTCGAAGATGCCCTTCGGGTGCCTCCACCTTCCCAGTTGATGTCCATGGCTGAGCAGCTCCGAGGGGAGCCCTGGTTTCACGGGAAGCTGAGCCGACGGGAGGCTGAGGCACTGCTGCAGCTCAATGGGGACTTCCTGGTGCGAGAGAGCACGACCACTCCTGGCCAGTATGTGCTCACCGGCTTGCAGAGTGGGCAGCCTAAGCACCTGCTTCTGGTGGACCCTGAGGGTGTGGTGAGTGTGGCAGAGGTGTGGGTAGGGGTGGCAGAAAAGAAGGTCCAGCACTCTCCTGTGCATCCTTCTTCCTTCCCTCATTGCTTTCTAGACTTTGCTCTGCTGGCAGCTATCTGTTGTGGGTGCCTGGGGTCCCCCTCCAGTGGCTTAGCAGTCCTTTCCCTCTCATATCCCTGAGCCTGAGCTATGTGTCCTGTAGTCACAAGCAGACTTCAAATCCCCAGACCTTAAGCCCTTTAGGGCTAGAAGGTGTTCATCTCATCTTGTCCTCAGCCTTACATTTCCAGCAACCCCCGCTTTTTTTTTTTTTTTTTTTTTGAGACAGGGTCCTAAGTCACTAAGTTGCCCAGGCAGGGCTCAAATTTGTGATGTTCCTGCCTCAGCCTCCCAGAGCTAGGATTGCAGGCAGTACCAGGCCTGGCTTTGTGTCCCTTTGGAGGAAAGTACCATGCCCAATGTCAGCTGGTTAGAGGCGCAGTATCCAAGTCTTGTGCAAGAGGAGCCAAGGGTTCCCTAGTTCCCTAGACCCTGGGCTCATACAGTGCCCTTTCTTTTACCTGCACTGCCCCTACTGCTCCTTTTCCACAGCAATCTCAGCCTTCATTCCATATCTTGTTCACACTGTGATCTTCCTCTGAGACATCCAACTTTCTCTGTGTCAGGAAAACTGTTATTCCCCAGGCTTACAATTTCTAGGCTGATGTCCCTTTTCCCTTTCCTTAGTTCACTGACCTGCCTGTTCCTACAACTGTGCATAGGTTCCCATTGCAGAGAAGCCTCAGTAATCAGGGCTGACACCTTTTCCCCCACCCTGTCCCCCAATCTTCCCCTCCCTCAGTCCTCTTTTGATTGGTGCATCTTCCTCAACCGTGGGACCAGGGTTTCACTGAGCACTTCATTTGACTTGACCGTCTTCCTTTCCACCTTCCCAGGTTCGGACAAAGGATCACCGCTTTGAGAGTGTCAGTCACCTCATCAGCTACCACATGGACAATCACTTGCCTATCATCTCTGCGGGCAGCGAACTATGTCTACAGCAACCTGTGGAGCGGAAACTTTGATCCATCCCAGAGTCTCTCCAGATACCCTCTGGCCCCTTCCACCTTCTTCCTTAACTCTCAGGACCTCACTTGGGAGTATTCTGTGGGCTTGGCCTTGGGTAGGAGCTGGGAGTAGTGTGGACGCTGGGTTCACTATCCAGCCAAATGAGAGGATTTGAGTCAGGAGCCTTGGGTAGAAACTTGCTTCTCCCCAAACCTCACCAAAGTATTAATGTACAGAGCGGCCTCTTTGTCTGGGCCTTTCCTGTGCCAACCTGATACCCCCTTCCCCAGGAGGGGGTGCTTGTAATGGAAAATGTCCCATGGTGACAGGCCCAGTGGAGCAGTCACCCTTCTGGGGAAGGGGGAATGAATTCCACCTCTGGTCTACTCCTGGGCTTCAGGGTACCCCAGACCCCTCTCAACACTTTCCCCTTCCCCCAGTGTTTAAACTTTGTGCCTTTGACCATCTCCTAGGTCTGAAGAGTTCTCAGGCCCCTGAGTTCAAGGACAGGGGTGCTGACATCTTCCTGGTTTGTGGGACCCTGTCCTCTGCTCAACACCTGCTCCAGTTTGGGTTGGGAAAGAGGCAGGAGTGACAGCTGTCCCCTATCTAGGGGGATATGCAATCCTCAGAGATGGCCCCAGAGCCCCCCTCCTGGTGGGATGTGGGGGATGGGTGCCTCTTGCTCAGTGCCTCCTGGCCCGCCCCTCCCCCAGGGGTCTGTATATACATTTCTAAGCCCTGCCCCTCCTGTGATGCATGCATGTTGTACCCTACAGCCAAAGTGCAGCCCTTCTTCCTGTCGCTGACCCTGCCTCCTCTTTTGGGGCAGTGGGGTGACCGAATTTCGGCCTCCACATTTAACTCCAGGTGGGCTTTGTGGAGGCGCGATTAGGGGCATTGAGACTTAAAGCAGTAGACAATCCCCAAATGCCATCTGTAGATTTGGAACTGCATTCGTTTTTTATATGCATATATTTTAGGGCTGTAGATTTACTGCCCTGATTTTGTTTTCCATGGCTTTTGAGCACAAAATGATGATAATCGATTACATTTATACATCACCTCTTTGACTTTTCTGAGCCCTTTTACAACTATTGGCATTTTCTCACCACCGGCAGCATTATCTTTTTTACAAGAGAGACCTAAGGCAGGTATTGATTTTGCTTTAGGACTGGACAAGTTGGGCCTCTTAGGGTGAGGCTAGGAGGCAAAAGTCTGGTTGGAGAGAGTTATAGTGCGGTGAAGTGGGAGCTTAAGCCCCACTGGTGTAGAGGACCGGCCAGGGTAGCGACAGCGAGACAAGCCTCCCCTTGCTGGGCTTCAGGTCTGGAGGGAGGGAGGAAGGGAGGGATGAGGATGAGGGAGGGTAGGATGTTTCATCCTGACCACCTCCTTTTTTCTTTGGTTGTGTTCACGGGTCTCACTTATACCAAAGGGAAACAGTCTTCATTAAAGTCCATATTTCTTCTACATCCGCCTCTTAGCCCCTGTCGCGAGCCTATTGTCCGCCGCGGGCCCCGGGTGGCAGGAGGTCGCCGGGCTCCGGCGGGGCTCTGCGGGGCTGGGCTCCGCAGGCCGAGTGCGGGCGGGGCGG